CTCTCTCTCTCTCTCTCTCTCTCTCTCTCTCTCTCTCTCTCTCTCTCTCTCTCTCTCTCTTCCCCCCACCCCCCTCCCCTTTGTGTGTGTGACCTGCCCTCTTCTTGGGTGTCTCCCGCTGTCTGACAAAGGGCAGCCAAGAAAGTGGCCGCGGGAAGCCGGGAGTGACGCGCCTTACTACGCCGTGGTGTTGTATCTTTCCATGTTCTAGCGTAAGATTCATTCTCATTTTGCACGTTCCGTGCGGAGTGGAGGGAGGCCTTCGGCCAGAACATGGAAAGATTCGACATTCCATTTTCAAATTTTCCTCTTTCCAATGCTCTTCGCCCACGACCAGACCTGAGCCTACTCAGGCTGGACCCATCCCCCTTCTGTCCACAAAGTATGCAACGCATATGCGGATTAAACGAATAAAGCGCAGCGTATGCCGTGTATTCGTTTGAAACGCATATGCGTTATGTTCGGGGGAAGAAGGTAGTCCCAAGTCCCATTCTGTGTTCGATTAGCCCTTGCAGCCACTTGTACAACATTCACGAATACTGTAGAATAGTAGTTTTCGTTTGCAGAGGCCTAGGCAGGCTAGTTAAGTAGATCATGGTCGGAAATCCCTCGTAGATAACGGTTATGGGTTGAAGAGTCCATCTTCAGCCAAGATCACAAGAGTCGTTAGGCCAGTTGTGAGGCGATCCACCCAAGCAGCCAGATCCCAGGGAGAGTCCATGAGCTTCCACAAGCAGCAAACCTAGGCAAGGGGACCAGCCCATAACCAGCAGAAGATGTATGGAAGGAGGATCAGCAAGTATGAAACTCCAGCACTACCTGGACATCAACACCATATGCTTTGCACTCAATGCGGAAGCGCAGTTGTGTCTTGTGTGTTGCAGAGACAGACAGAGACAGAGAGAGAGAGAGAGAAAAGAGAGAGAGAGAGAGAGAGAGAGAGAGAGAGAGAGAGAGAGAGAGAGAGAGAGAGAGAGAGAGAGAGAGAGAGAGAGACAGAGAGAGACATACCTGCATGCTGAGTTGGGCGGCCATAGCCGCTGGTGACGGAGAAGACAACCAACTTTGTGTTGACCATTAAAACTCTTTCGGACTTTGTGTGACATCTGTGAGTGCGGTGTGATGCAGGATTTGTGCCCGAGTGTTTCATGCATGGTGGTCTCATTGCAGCATGGTTCCTTGCACAGTAGTAGCAAAGGTTATGAACTGACTTGTAACAGGCAAATCATCTCACAAATAAAGACGCATTGTCTTTCTTCTTGTTTTTCCCTTTTCTTTGGGACCATAGAAAGGAGGCGGCGAAGGTTCTGAATCGACCACTAACCAGCAAATCATCTCATAGCAAGATGCGTTTTTTTTTTAATTTAAATCACTTTTTGGCCTTGCAAAGGAGGGAGTGAAGGTTGAGAATTGACTAGCAACTAGCAAATCATCTCACACGTAAACATGCTTCTTTTCCCCTTTTTTTCCTTTTTATTGAAAGGGCATTTGTCCTACACATACCCGAAACCAGTGAAGAACGCAGAGGCAGAAGAGCCTCAAACGACTTATTGCTTATGTCACTGATCCCTACCTCCTGTGAATCAACCGCATCCTGTGCCGGAAAAGGAAAAGAATAGCAAAAGAGAATGACCACAACCGCTCAAAAACTGCCAAATGTGCCCAAGCAGCCCGCCAGTGAATCTGTTGAACTGTGTGCTCGACTTTCTGTAACTGAGAGCATACTCACACGAGGACTTATCTGGATGTATCTGACTGCAATTATGGCCGGCCATGTCTGTCCCGGCCCACAGTAAGGTCCAGAGTTGAGTCTGAAAGGTCCCAGTGTGAGTATGCCCTGAGTGACTCGGCTTCGGAACAGCGTTGACTAATTTAAATTTTCAAATGAAATTTATTGAACTTAAGTGTATGGCCCCCTTTTGTTTCTCTTTGCCCCCCTTCCCCCGCCCCCCTCTCCCTTTTCCATCCGTCCTTTCCCTCCCTCTAGCTTGCAAGGAAACCGCACCAGACTGAAACGGTTTTCACCTTTGCAGATCCCAGGGCTCGATCCCTAGATCTTACCACACCCATGTACAGTATCAAGTCGACCCCTGTGTGTTTGAACCCGTGACCTGTGTTTTGGTAGTTGACTGTTGGCTGTCGTAGTTCTGTGTAGCTGTAGGGGTTCGATCTGTAGGTCTGTCGACTAGGGGTCATAGTTGTGTAGAGGTCGTAGCTGTAGCAATTCTGAAAGGTCAAGGTCGTAGCTGCT